AGACAAGTTCCGCGGGCATGGCTTGAATGTCTGGCTTGAAAGTTGCGTGCAGACCAAGAGCTACGGCGGGGAGGGCTTCGAGCCAGGTTGAGTAATGGTGGCACATGATGGCTGCCTTGAACTGCCGGTGAAACCGTTCAATCATCCCGTTGGCACAAGGGTGGTAGCTAGTTGTCCGTGAACGCTCGAACCCGGTGGAGAGCCCAAGGAGCTTGAAGAGCTGAAATTCGAATTGCCTTCCTTGATCGGTGGCGACTCGACGAGGAGTGCCGAAGCGTGAAACCCAGCCGGAGAGGAAGGCTGATGCGACGTCTTCTGCGGTGATCCTTTTGAGCGGCCACACCTCGGGCCAACGAGTGTAACGATCGATGGCGGTGAGGCAATAGCGGTAAGGGCCGGCTGGTGGGAGGGGGCCAATGATGTCGATGTGAACGTGCTGGAACCGTTCCGTCGGGAGGGGGAATTCTCCGAGTGGCAACGTGACGTGCCGGGTGATTTTGGCGCGCTGGCCTTGAATGCATGTGCGTGCCCAGGTGCGGCAGTCCCGTTGCATTGAGGACCACGCGTACCGGTCAGTCACGAAGCGTGTAGAAGCTCGGATGCCGGGATGACTGAGGTTGTGTAACTGCTTGAAGAGGCTTTCGCGATGCAAAGAAGGGACGTATCGTCTCACTCTTCCTGTTGATATGTCATAGTAGAGAGCGACCGTTGACCCAGGGATAATAACTTTTTGAAGTTGAAGGGAAGAGCCATTCTCGAGGAGCTGCTGGAGTTCGGTGTCTGTTTTCTGAGCTTCGGTGAGGGTGTCGGTTGTAACGGTTGGTAGCTCTACAGCCGAGACGCGAGAGAGTGCGTCGGCGACCACGTTTTCCTTTCCGCTGATGTGGCGGATATCTGTGGTGAATTGAGCGATGAAGGACAGCTGGTTATGCTGGACCGGTGGAAATTTTTGGCGGCATTGGGAGAAGGCGTAAGTGATAGGTTTATGGTCGGTTTATATGGTGCAGTGCTGTGCCTCGAGGATGTGGCGAAAGTGTTGGACTGCTTCGTAGATGGCGAGGAGCTCTCTGTAGTAGGCTGACCAGGTCGTCTCCGCAAGGAGCGGGGTTGCATCGCCGATGCTGCCGGAAGGCGGGGGCTGTTTCGGGAAAGAGAGTTTCTTCGAGAAGAACGCCAAGGGGTGCCAGTTGTTTCCCACACGCTGCATGAGAGAGGCTCCGACGGCGGTGCTAGAGGCGTCTGTGAAATGACCCAGGGGCGCCTCTGGCTTGGGATGTGAGAACAGCGTAGCGTTGCAGAGGGCAGTTTTGCAGTCTTCGAACGCTTGCATTAAGGCTGGGGTCCAAGTAACAGGATGGTTGCTACGTTGGCCGGCCAACGCATCATGGAGAGGAGCCTGATATGTGGCCGCTTTAGGCACGAAGCGCCTGTAAAAGTTGAACATTCCCAGAAAACGGCGGAGGTCCTTCGCTGTGGCAGGCAGTGCGTAATTTTGCAGTGCCAGGATGCGGTCAGGTAAGGGTCTAGTTCTTTCTGCAGAGATTTCATGGCCAAGAAACGTGACGACGGGGGCGCCGAGCGTGCTCCTCTGAACGTTTATGAGTAAGCCGTGTTCGTCGAGGCGCTGGAACAGTTGACGAAGGTGTTGGCGATGTTCCGTTTAGTTGCGGCAGAAGATCAAGATGTCGTCTAGGTAGACGAAAAAGAAGTCCAGGCCGCGGACAACGTCGTCGATGAAGCGTTGAAAGGTTTGCCCCGCTTTGCGGAGACCAAAACTCATGAAAGGGAATTCGAATAGGCCGAAAGGCGTGATAATTGCGGTCTTTGGGACGTCATCCGGGTTTACAGGAACTTGTGTGTAGGCCATTACAAGGTCCACCACTGAGAAGATAGTGCTGCCGTCTGAAGCGGTGTGCAAAGTCCCGTATATGACGGACGGGGTACCTGTCGGGGACGGTGTGGGTGTTGAGGGTGCGATAATCTCCGCAGGGGCGCCAGCCATTGGTCTTCTTTGGTACCAGATGAAGTGTTGAGGCATAAGGTTCCTCCGAGCGGCGGGCAGTACGTTCGCGGAGCATGGCTTCGAATTCGGCCTGTACGATTCATAGGCGGTCCGGGGCTAGCCGAAGGGCGTGGCATGAGACCGCGGGGCCGGGAGTAGTACGAATGTAGTGCACGGTTGAGTGGCGCACCTCTCGCGGACACCCGCTAGGTCGAGTCAGGTCGGGAAATTCTGCGAGGATGTCATGGTATGGCGACTGGTTCCCAATAGTGAGTGCCTTGGCGTTAGGCTGTTGGCTGTTGGGTGGTCGCACGTTCGCCCGGCGTGAAGAGGCCTGTTGTAGCGTCGATAAGTCGGTCATATCGGCAGTGAGGTAGAAGATTGTAGTAGGCCAAGAAGTCGGACCCGATGATCGGCTCTGCGATGTCGGCAATTACAAAATTCCATGAAAAATCTCAACACAGGTTTTTGAGGTTGGTGTTAAGCTCAAAGGCGACGTTAAGCTCAAAGGACGTGCAAGGACGCTTGTCACGCAGGATGGTTCAGGGAAAGCAACAGATGTCGGAGCCACAGTCGACGAGGAACCGCCGCTTTGTGACGGTCAGTGACGAATATGCGACAGCCTCTAAGTTGGCAGCTCGCGGCCGTCTCTACCGGCTGCCGTTGAAGTTTCCCTGACGCCCAGCTGTGCAAGGTGGTTGACATTGCCAGGCTTTGTCCCCGAAGCGGCGATGGTAGTCGCAGGGGCCGTTACCGTTTCCGTGCGATGAAGCGGCGTGGTTGTCTTGTCTTTGGGAGTGTTTTTGTGGACGCAGCTTCGGGCTTTGATCTAAGCGCCTTTGAATTGAGTCCAGCTGACGGGTGCTCGCTGCTGGGCTGTCGGGTGTCAACGGCGTTGACGGTGAGAGGCGATGCTGGCGACGAAATATCGACGACTTGATCAGCAATGTGAGAGAGCTGGTCCAGCGGCAGATTCGGCTGCACCTGTACGACTGAAAATAGCGCTAAGAAACGGGGACACAAGACGAGGACACATGGCACAGGCGCTAACTTCCAACATAATGTTTATTACCACCGCACGCTCGCCTATATCACCAAGAAAAATAACATCACATGACATGAATGATGCGCACAAAAAATTAATTTCTTAGAAAATACCATTCTTTATTACTGAGCGTAAGAGAGGGAGTGCTTACGCACTTAGACCCCAGTGAAGCGATAGCCTCAGCCTCAATAATCTCTCTAGTAAGCTTGTCAAACATTCTCTTGATAACTGTGCATGCATTGAATATCGGCGCGCAGCCGCAGGATTTACAACGTATGGCCAACCAACTCCCCTGGCCGTTTTTCACATTATTACAATGTTCTCTTAATCGATCATTAAGGCAACGGCCCGTCTGTCCAATATACTCTTTACCACAAGAAAGCGGGATACGATAAACAACGCATATGATACACGGAACATAAACAGTTCGATGCTTCTTACTACAGCCTTTGGGTTTTCCGTCACGGTCATGAAGGCCACAAAGGCTGACCAACTTCCTGGGAGCCGAAAAGACAACCCTAACTTCAGAGTGCTTAGCTAATTTCTTTAGGTTGTGCGATATCTTGTGATAGTATGGTATGACGACTAGGTGCTTCGGTTTCTCGGAATCACGACTCGCTGTACATCCTGGGTTGCGAAGCGTACGAAGCAAGCCTTCTGCAACTGAAGTTTGGACGTGCATAGGATAACCTGCTTTCAACAAACGGTCTGACTGATTATGAAAACTATTGCCGATTTCGTGCTCACAAGATTTGCTTAAAGCATGAAGAAAACAATGACTGATGATGCCTCTTTTCACTAGTTTGGAGTGAGCTGATTGGTAAGGAAGGACCGGTTTGTTCATACGTGGTTGGTATGCCCAACATAAGCAGTTAGGATGAAAGGTGAAGAGGACATCGAGGAATTTCATGGCATTGCTCTCAGGCAGTTCGTGTGTGAGAGTCAAGGGTTTAAAACACTCAGAAAAATGTGAAATTATTTTTGCCAAGCCTGCCTCGTCCACTACCGTGTCGTAAATTAATTAATAAAACAAGATAGTCATCGACATACCGGAACACTTTTTTTATCTTCAAATTATCAAGATGTAGGTAAATTGATCTGTCAATTCTACTTAAAAATATGTCGCTTAAAATTGGCGCAATGCAAGACCCGATACAGATTCCGTCCTTTTGAATAAAAGGCTTGTCATCCCATGAAATGTAGGTCGTCTTGAGGTAAAATGATAAAAGTTCTAAAAACCGACTGACAGGAGCACCACACTCGGTTTGAAATCTATTAGAGCCAAACAAATCTATGCACTCTTCAACCGCAGGAAGCAACTGATCATGGGGAATAGAATAATACAAATCAGTCACGTCGACTGAAAAACCATAAACATGCTCATCGACAAAAGTTTTCACATAATATATGACTTGATCAGAACTTTTTACTATGAAAGGATCATCAACGTCAAGCTGGTTCAACTGTTCTTGCAAAAAGGTAGCAATCGATTTTTGCCATGTATCACATTCTGAAACAATTACCCTAAAAGGCATATTGCTCTTGTGAGTCTTTGCATTAAAAAACACTTTTAAAAAGTCATGCTTACTATTTGTGATGCCACCGACAACTCGAGAAAGAATAAGGTCTTTGCATAGCTTTTTTTTTTACCGATTTAACTTTTTCAATGCGGACGTCCTCGCGAGAGGAGAAAACAGAGCTTACGGCAGTGTGAGCCTTAGAACCAAACAGTCCCAGAGTCAGGATGGCGAAGCCTCCTTCCTTATCAGCGGGAAGGACGGTAAGAGAATGCTCCTTGAGAAAAGCCTCAACTCTCCTGAGAGGAATTTTGGATCCAGCTGGTCTGTAGCGCGAAACGGTGTCCACGCCTTCTGAGACGGAGTGTGGTTGCTCTTTTTCGGGCACATGGCGCGAAACTTGTCGCACCATGGCTAGAAGTTCCGGTGGAGACGTCTAAGGTTCCACCGCAAACTTGGGCCCGAGGCTTAAAGTCCGGAGGATGTCGGGAGGCAAGGTGATCTGTTCAGGCACGTGAACTGTCGGCTTTTGATCGGTTACTTTTTTGACGACGCCTGTGCGTAGCACCGGCAATTGTCGAGCCCAGAGGAATTCCGTGCTTTGGTCGGCGAGGTGCTGAAATTGTCGAAGCTGCTGCATGGCCACAGTATCTTCGAGACGATCAAACGAGACGATTCTACTTAAAAATATGTTTTCCGGGTCACCAGATGTGGGATAACATAACTTTAATGTTTCCGCACTGAAGGTTCTACAACGACTGATCTGAATCAGGGCAAACACACAGTTTTCTTGCTTCTTTCGGGCGAGAGTTCTTATCGCCGGCGCCCGTGTTTGGAGGCATCGCCGCGATGCGCAGGCGCAGAAGCGGTACCGACTCGTTTCGCCACAGATCTAATGTTAAAACGCCAAACAAGAGAGCAAGAATTCGCAACGGCAAACTAAAATCCTTACTGTATTTATGTATTTAAGTCAGATATTCACAGGTCACACTACTCAGGAAAAGGAAATTCACCAAACAACGTGGATGGGCTAAAGCTTTAATGGCAAATATTTTCAAATCATAAAGGCAATTTACAATTGTCCCTAAAGCAGAAAGTGGTCAACTATTGTATGCTGCGAGTACTAACATATGGTGTTACTTGAATGATAGTAAAAAAAAAGAAGAAAAAAAGTCCAGAACGAACCAAGAACTATGAAGTAGAAACAGAAAATGGTTATAATAACATAGAGATACTAAAAAAGCAGAGCTCGATAGAGAACAAACAGGGCTAGGTGACATTCTAGCTGACATTAAGAAAAAAAAGGTTAACCTCGGCAGGCCAAGCAATGTGAGGGAGAGACAAGTGACGAGTTAGAGAGATTGTGTGGCTATGAAAAGATGGAGAAAATAGCTGAGAAAGGTAGAAGGCTAGATGGGATTTGCACGCATAAGATCTATTAGGCTTGCACAGGGTCGGAAAAATTATAGGTAACTGCGAGAAACCTTTGTATGGCATTGGACATAAAGAAAGGTTAATATATAAAAAGAGCATGTGTTGTCGAGCTGTTGCACATCGCAGAGTGGTTTCAATACCAACAGGTTATTCAACTCACATCGCAGTGCTACTGCTTACGTGTTGTACTTGTACTACCAACTGCTTTTAGACACGTTTCCAACAGCGTTGAAACATATCTGGAACATTTAGTAGAACCATGTACACACATGTCCCCGGCTCTGTATAGAGCATCTGCAGCCAGGCTTAATCCGTGGTACGTTGCGGAAGTTGCGGACTCTGACGGGGTGTTCCCAGGAGCACGCGTGACCTAATAGACATGCAGGGCTGCTTTGCACAAGTGTAACCATGTTGAAAGGTGTGCCTGTTTAACCGTAAATGCATGGTTCCTCGGGGCACTTTCAGCACGTGAATTCTGAAAGATGACGAGTTTCGACTGATAATACATGCCTCACTAGGCACTTGTTATTGTGCCTGGTCAAGTATGATATGGTTGGCATTTCAAAACTTCTTGAGCACTAACCACTCCAGTTTCAAACTAAAGCACATTGCACGAAGGAAGTAAATAAATAAGCGCGCCTGCCACCACAATTCGGATTTTAAAATTTTACGTATTTGCTAACACAACCAAATGAAGGCATGACTTCTCTGAAAGGCCATGTTCTACAAGTAGTGAGTGCTCTTTTTGGGGATTTCTCATCTTCATTTGCTCCTGTTACGAAATTATGTGAAAGCATGATTTGTGGCAGCAGGTGTGCTTTCTTTACCTGCTTCGTTCACTTTGCTTCAGTTTGGACCTGGAGTGGCTGGCACTGAAGAAGTTTCGCGATGGCAAGCGTTCAGCCGCCCACATCCCTTAGGCAAACTGGAACCTGAAGATGAGGCATGCCCGCTGTTTCAAACTAAAAAAGCCTGCTTGCACGACCTGGGAAAGCCTCACTGGCCAGGGAAATGTTCACATTGCAGAAAGTGTACGCTATGTACTCAACAAAGGCCCAAAATTTAGCCATGAACCTCTGTTGCTGGCTCACTAATTACTGGCATTGCACCGAGGAGATGCGGCAAAAGTCGAAGTTAGGGACTATTGCTTACAAGACAATGTCTAAATTCTAGCAAGAACAGGGGAAAAACCCTCTTCGTCAGGAGGATACGTTGGTGGGTGTTGTCATTCTTCAAGTGCAACAATTTGTGCACATTTAAAGTGGATAAAAGTAGTGGCTCCGTAGTAATGAATATAGATTTGTGTAACTTCAAGGCAAGCAATGCAGTCTACATGAACTTCGTCAAGTTAAAAGTCATCAAAACAAGACTTTTGAAAAGCAAGGCAGTGGCTCTGAGTAAGGACTTGGAACTTGCACGACTAAGAGAGTCTATCGCGTACTTCAGCTAGCAAAAAGAACACCCTTTCTGTGTTTTTTTATGGCCAAGACGCATAAGCCGGGTGTTTCATTGAGGACAAATGTGAGGGATTGAGGTATCTGGCAGAACATGATTAGTCAGTATTAATGAAACGGCTAGACTCGATTGTCATGAGAGACCCGTTATAAACTGGGAATTTCCCATGTATCATTCACTTTCTTCAAATAATCCTTCGATGGGTACTTGTTCTTGGTAGATGTTGAGGACTTATTTTATTCTGTCCTGCACGGTGAATTGTTTTTTTTACATAAAAAGTTGCACAGACGAGAGTGGTGTGGTTGCCTTCAGGAATGCTGTGGGCGTGGCAGTATAAGCTTTTATAGCCCTTCTCAAGTTTTATGTTAAAGGTAGCTCGTATGCTGCTCCTGTGTTGTGCAATTTCTTATGTTTGACCATAACCGCTTTTATTACATTCCACTAAAATTTTATTTAGTGGGAGGTTTTGGAAGCTCTTATGTAAGACAATAACTTTTTTAATTATTTTAAAGCAAGTAACCACCGTCACGTATTAGCACATTGTTAACAATGTTCTAGCAGGCTTTCACAGGCTGAAAAAGGATTCAAGTTTGCACATGAGTTGAAGGCTTGTGACTTTTTGCAGTTTTTGGCTTAGCGCATTACCTTGCAGAGTCGTCACGACTGTCGACTTTTTTTGTCTAGTTGTGCTAAAAAATTGCTTACATATGAGTTGACGCATTCCAAAACTTTGAAAAGGGCCATAGCTGAACAATGTCCAGAGTATGCATGTGCAGGGTCGTGCTCACACGTTATGCAGAAGACTTTTCTAAACCAATTGGACAGCTTGTCTGTCGTTGGTTTTCTTCACGTGTTCCTTAACGCTGTAGCTGAGTTGCTCCACGAGACTATCAAGACAGAACACCATGGTACTGTGGTAGAGCAAGAGCGCAGAACAGGAAGACCTGAGGTTTTACCGTGTATGCACCGAGCTGCACACGACCTAAAAATGGTTGCAATCAGAGGTGGCATGCCGATTCTTTTTTCTGCGCCACAAAAATCATCTCAGCTTTCTAATGTATACTATGTGATGAAAGCAACAAAGGTGGGAACGGTAAGAGGCACGCCAATCATACACAAAATGTGTCAACGTGGTCGCTTATGAATTTCCACTATCCTACGGTAAAAGATGAACGTTAGGTGGGCAAGAATATGCGTGAATGAGCATGCACAAAAACATGAGCCTTCGTAAAAAGATAAAGATGGGGCACATTTGCTGACGCATTGCGATTCTCATAAGTGTGAGCCGTACCTGGATAAGGTTTGGATTATTGGCAAAAGCAGGGACAGAACTACTCGAGAATGCATGGATGCATTCTGTACAAAATCACGAGGTTCATTAGGTATCAGTCATACTTTGTCTTTCTTGTAGGTAGAGAACAAGTTTACAGATTGTGATTAGTTAATATGCTCTCAATGTGAGCCTAGCTTACTCCACACATGTGTGCCTATATTTTCAATGCAGGATATGATGAATAAACTCGAAACTTTGAGCTCCCCTAGACTCCTTTTCTCATTACTTTTTCATTAAAACAGCCATATCTTTGTGGCTTCTACAAGAACATGTACCGATTAGAATAGAAAAGAGTACTTCTAGCCTGACCTTTGTGTCTTAAAAATACGTAAGGGTAAGTTTGACATAAAAGAGGGGCAACATGTCTGGATGATGCAGACCAGGGAGACATGTGGCTATGACAAGTTACCGATATGCAATGACGAGGGGAATGAATGCAGTGATAATGCAAGCATTTCAAGCTGGAAAAAGGCTAGGAGTGACCAGTGCCTTCTGTCACATAAGCCATGAAACAACAAAAGCAACCACCGTCACCTCTGTCACCATCTGGAACGTAAGAGCACTGCCAAAAGCTGCATTCATTGTTCTTCTTTCTTCTGCACAGGTTTACGGCATGCAGCTCCATAAAAGTAAAGCGAGGGCACATAAATGCTTCACTGTGGTAGTGTCAGAGCGCATACTCAAATCTGTTGCAGCAAAATTTTTTTTTAAAAAATCACTGCTTTTTTACATAGCCGTTTTAAAAAACTTTAAATCGGTCTGAAGACGTTACATTCTACAGATATTTGCTGGTGAATGGAAATTCTTCGGTATATTAGATACTTCGTAAGATGGTTTCGCTAGATAGAGTTTTATTAGTATTTATTAGTAAAAAGTACATATTGGGGAGCCATGAAGATTTTGTAACAGAGGGGTGAGTGCTGGAGACGACGTTTTGACAAGTGGACTTGTCTTTTACAAGGTTCAACAAAATTTTGAGAAATTTCGTTCAATACAAGAACCTTATTACTTTATCATTGTGCCTATCCAAAGAAATGAAGTTATTTATAATATAGAGGAGCCGAGAAATGTAACTTCATGCTATTTAATATTGCGCACATGCACCAACGAAGACCAAAAGCTTGTATCGTGCACTGACTACTAAGCGGGAACAAACGTGTTAATCTGATAGTGAAGTAAACATCACATCCTTTTGACACGCAGGAAAACTAGTAATAAGACCCAAAATGACATTGTACTTCCTAAAGAATGATATGTCCTTCAATTTTCCATGTGATGCTCTTGATTTAGCAAGACCGAACACATACATGTGCTTGAACTTATACATAGCGTTCACGTGATGTCACTTCCGCCGATGTCGCCATCTGCCGCCATGCCCGGGTACCTCGCTGGGTACCTACGGCAGTTAGCGTGCTGCAGTGCGGTTTTT